ACACATGAAAGCAAACCATAATGGAATTTAGAGCAAGTAGAGCTTGGAAAGAAAAGGGGGTTGTACTCAATCCAAGCTACAGAAGCTTAGGAGGCTTTCTCTAACGATTTAAGAGGGTAACCCTACCCAGATGCATCCCACGAATGCGACGATGAGGTAAACTCCTAGCACCCTAGTCGTCATACCAAAATTCTCTCATCATTGGTACCTATCCACACGCTTTGCTTGTGGTTGTTCTAAGGGAGAGTCTTCCTCCCAAACCTGGGTCCCCGACCCGAGACCTCTTCAGGCCGATGGAAAAACTAGGTCCACCAACTTGATTGACCTAGATTTTCTACGAGCCCAAAGAGGTCACGGGTCGGGGACTTGAGTTCGGCAGAAACCCTCTCTCAAACACCCATATGCGAAACATATAGATAAGTACCAACAATGAGAGAATTTTAGTACGACGATTAGGATGTTAAGAGCCTCCCTCGTCGTCGAGTTCGTGGGACACGTTCGGGTAGGTTACCCTCTTAGATCATTTAGAAAGCCCTCCTACTGTCCTTACAATGCGGTTTGAATTTTGCTTCCTCGCTTTGCTGCATGGCACTATAATCACACTTATCTATGGCTTTTAGAGGCGTCCGTTGGCTTGTCTCCAATTAATTATGAAAGGTTTGAGAGGTGGGAATTTATGTTTATGGGTTAAGAGATTCAAAGAGAGAGAGAAGAGAAATATGGTGGCAAAAAAGGGAAGCAAATAACTAAAAAGATGGAAAACGATTAAAAAAAAGGTTGATGAAAAAATGGGCAGTCTTACAACGTCACCTCTCCCAAGAGGTATTAAGGGATGATAAAGAAAAGGTACTCGACTTGTGATCGAGGTAACCCAGAGGATTCAAGAGAACGGAGTTCGTGGATTAAACCCATCGTGAATTGTTTCTGAAGCGCCCCCTTATGCATAATGCATGATGACAATGAAATGAGAAGCTTACGTATGTACGAACAATGATGGTTGATAAGAAATCCTTGAAAGTAAATAAGAATCTTAAAGAGGCTAAAATCAAATGAAATAGATGCAAATGTGTGGTAAAGAATGATATTTCAAATGATGCAAGAATTTTAGAAAGAGAGTAGAAGAATTTTAAGAAGTATAACAAAGATTTTAAAGAAAGGATAATAATTTAGAAAAGAGATAGAATTTTGTATTTTTAAGAAATAAAATGGGGGTTTTATGTTAGAGATTCCTAAAAGAGATAGAGGGTGAGTGGATTTTCCCAATGAAAAAAAATAAGAGTGATTAAAGAGAGATAGGGGAATGAAGAATAAAGAAGAGGAGAGAGATAAAAGAGAGAGAGAGAGATTTGAGTAGAGAGATAGAGAGAGTAAGAGAGAAATGTGGCGTGAGGGAGAGATTTATGTGTGAGAGAGAGAGGGGATGAGATTTGGAGAGAGAAAGAGATTTATGGAAGGGAAACAGAGGGCGAAGTGCGTGGGGGAGAGAGAGAGAAGTATGTGGGGGAGAAAAAGAGAAATACATGGGGAGAGAGGTGCATGGGGACAGCGTGAGGGAGAGAAAAGTGCGGATTTGGAGAGAGAGATAAAGAAATAGAAAGAGAGAGAAGAGATATTGAGAGAGGGAGAATAGGAGAGTGATGAGGGAGAGAGAGTTAGGGATAGCGAGAGAGAAGATAAGAGGAAAAGAAAGAGGGCCTGTGAAGGAGAGAGAGAATGAGAGAAAGATGATAGAGAGAGAAAAGAAGGTGAAGGTTGGGAGAGAGAGAGAGAAGATAAGAGAGAAAGACAGGGGCAGCAGTCCTGCTGCTGCTCATGGAGGAGAGAGAAAGTGCGAGAAAAAGATAATAGAGAGAGAGGAGGGATTGAGAGGGGAGAGAGAGACATAAGAGGCGAGGGGGAGAGAGAGAGAGAAGGGGAGAGGGCCTGTAGAGGAGAGATATTCTGGGGGTGAGAGAGTGAAAGAGATAGGGGGAAAGGCGAGAGAGAATGGAAGAACGAGGAGAGAGACCGAGAAGAGAGGGAGAGAGAGCTCGATTTGAGAGAGAAATCAAGGAGAGACGGAGAGAGAGACTGGGAGGGAGAAGAGAGAGAGAAAGATAAGAGTACTAAGAGGGAGAGAGTGTTGGGCTTGCAGCTTAGACTGTGGGCTTGAAAGGGTTAAGAGAGAGAGTAAGAGGGGAGGGAGTGTTGGGCCCACAGTTTAGACTGCAGGCCCGAGAGGGTTAAGAGAGGAGAGAGAAGAGATAGAGTAAGAGAGGGTAGGGAGTGTTGGGCTCGCAGCCTAGACTGTGGGCCCTAGAGGGTTAAGAGAGAGAGAAGTAAGAGGGGAGAGAGTGTTGGGCTTGAGAGGATTAAGACAAAGAAGAGATAGAGTAAGAGAGGAGAGGGAGTGTTAGGCCCGCAGCCTAGACTGTGGGCCCGAGAGGGTTAAGAGAGAGAGAAGAGATAGAGTAAGAGAGGGGATTGAGTGTTGGGCCTGCAGCTAGAGAAGAGATAAGAGTAAGAGAAGGGAGATAGTGTTGGGCTGCATCCTAGACTGTCGGCCCGAGAAGGCTAGAGAGAGAAAGACGATGAAGGGGAGAGAGAGAGAGGAGAAAGGAGAGAGACAAGGGAAGAGAAAGAAAGAGAACTATGTACCTGGTCGCGAATCCGGGTTCGAATGCTTGGCTTGGAAGTTATGTGTTCGAAACATTCGAAATCAGAAGTTCTAAGAGTTGGAAGCTCAAAGTCCCAGGGATATTCTCTCCAGCTAAAATATTCTCTCTTTAAGAAGGAAGCTAAAAGATTAAAATTTCATTTTCTCAATTTTTCCAAGAATCATTACACAATAAGCTTACATATATTTATAGGCATCCACCAAAACATAGGTGGATGCTCAAAAGTAGCCTAATTTTACCAAAAATACATTTTTCTTGAATTAAAAATGCATTTTCGTTTTTGTAAAAAATAAAGAAAATACCCCCCATTCAATGTAGGAAATGACCAATTGGTTCCCTTCGAACGAGGCTTAAGCCATGGACAACATTCGAGGTCAATTTAGGGGCTTTTCGGTGGCCGTTTGGATGATCCATCATCATAGAAATGATATTCAATTTATGACGATCGTTTCGATATCCATTTCGACACCCAAATCACACTTTTTGATGGCAATAAAAGTTCCGACCATCTTTAAGAACATGGAAACTTTTAACTCTTCGTGTAGGCCAATCTGTCATGTTTTTGACAAATTTCTTCATGACAACTCTGATAGGATCACATCACAGTCATTTTCTGACAAAAATCATCAAATTTGATGGTCATTTGAACTTGTTTCCAATTTGGAAAGTCGCTGGAAAATGGGATTCCGACGACCGGAAAACTTGTCATTTTCATCTTTAAATTGCACACAATTTGATCCTTCGTCTTGCTCAAATTTTACTTTATATTGTTTGTCTTCATCCCACGATCGCAATGCATTCATTTTCATGACAATCCAATGTCGAGAACTCAAAATATGCCCACTTGATCAAAAGACCTTTTTCACTTTTCAAATCGTTCATTTTCGAGCCAGATTTCTCTATTCGAATTCTCCCCATCCGCTCATCATCTCGGGGCAAATTTTATATCAAAATGTGTGCGTCGACGAGACGAACCTTGCCTTAAAATTTGAGCTCGATCGGGTTCGGGATGAAGGAGATATGGCCATTTAAAATTCAATCCCAAGCCCAAATGTAGCAGTTTCCATAAATGAAAGCTGCTTCCCTGCAACCTCATCAGAATAGTATAAAACCTATCCATTTTGGGTAGGTTGGACATATGGGGGTCTAGAAGTGCCTATGGGCTGAAAATTGGTATACAAGGCTTTTCAGACCTTTTAAATCCAATGGTGGTGGTCTGGTGTTCATCTGAGGTGTAAAAATTAGGGCTCTAGTTATGAGGTCTTTTTCAGGGCGATAGAAGCTGAAGTTTTGGATAAGATTTCGTCCTAATCGATCTTAAACTCGCCGGATTGGGCTGAAATTTGGCGAGGATGCTTAAAGCACCCCAAGCCACCATCCTACAAGTTTTGGGGTCATTCTGCCACTTTTCCAAAAATGGTTTTATTTGATCAGTGCTTCCGTAGTTCGTAGGCATTTTGAGTAACGGTGGGACCAAGTTGCGACTGGCTCCTTTATTCGTGCCGGGGTCTAAGTCATTTAAAAATACCCTATAACAACGACAAGGGCAATCCACTTTGATACAAAGATATGCAAGCTCACATGTATCTTTGATATCAAATTGGCATTGCAGGTGACATCTGTATACTTTGTCACCTCAGAAAACAAAACCATCTACATAGACAACAGACATGTATCTTTGATATCAAATTGGCATTACAGGTGACATCAATATAATCTGCCACCTCAGAAAACAAAACCTTCTATATAGACAACACGGACATTGCTTCCTATTTAGAGAATCGACACTACTCCAAGTGAAGCCCACATAGACAACAAGGAGAGTGGTTCCCCATTCAGAGAATGAACACTAATCCAGATGAGGCCCAGACACAATAGATTGGTATTAAATTTATCAAACCATGCATGCGGGAGACATCAGTTTGGGTGAGGGAGGTCAAAGGTTTGAACCCTTGAAGTTTGTCCCAGAAAACCAAACACTTTGACTCACCCTTTTTGTCCAATGCATGCAGGTATTGCATCATCCTATACAGAGCTTTCCACACTACAAGCAAGTCCAAGAGGTGTAAAGGTGGAAGATGTTGGTCCATGAAAAATTTAGCCATGTTAGAAATGAATATAGTAACAAATACAAACACCATCTAAACAACTTACATATGACCCACACACTAAATTGAATGGAAAAAAGTATAAGCAGTAAGACTAATGCATTGCAGTTATATAGTCTACAATATTAGCCAAATAAACTTTATGAAACAAATTAAGCATTTAAATGCAATGTAAATGCATTTAAATGCTCATAAGCACAATACATAAGCTATATAGCCTAACTGAGATACATACTCTGGGTGCTGTGATCTGATTATCTCCTTCAAGAATGATACACCTATCGGCTACATGATTGGCTCGGACATTGTGACGTAGAGCCTCCAACGCATGAGGGTTCCACTCACAAGCATAAACCAGTTTTGCTCCGGCCCTGAATTCACACTTACATAAGCGATATAATGCAGGGACCTAGTGAAGCATCTGTTTCCTCTAAAGCTAGATTTTATCTAAATTAAGCACTTAGTTTGTACTGAGATAAGAACAATTAAAACTCAGAAGAAATAGCAATCATTGTCCGTACTTAACAAGGAAAGGAAGCACAAAGTAGCCAATTCCAGCATACAAGTCGACAATTACTTCGTTCCTACAGTCAAGATGGGCCATCCGAAGCTTCTCAGAGACGTTACCCGAAGAAAACATGCACTTTGTCACATCAAAAGTATAGATTATGCCATTTTCTTGATGCTCAACCCAGCCATTATCTCCCATAAGGAGCTCTACAGTACTATCCCTTGTCCCAGTGGGAGAAATTCGACCCTAGAAACAGTTAGTAAATACAAAAGGTTAACTCCCTAAACAATAAAGTTAGATCAGTGCACATATTATGTTACAAACTTTTTAGTTAAAATAGTACATGACATTTAAATGACAAAGCAATTAAGTATTCATATAATAATAATCAAAGAACATATGGATGCAAAGAACTCACTGTAATGGAACAAAATGACACAAAAGGTACGCCATTGACTATTGTGAAGCAACAAAACAAACACACAAGAGCGACAAAGAGCTTTCCAAATAATTCAAGCATGAATATGTATCTAAAGTTGTACAAACTGTAGTACAATACCAAAAATGAGAGAAAGGGATTAACAGGATCTAAGAATATGAGGCACTAACTGAAATTTCTTATTATACCCAATATGGGCCAATAACAAAAATTTCTCAGATATTTTCTGAAAAGTGGACTATGTGACCGGGTAACTTAATACCGATTAAATTTTTTTATCTTTCCTTATGTATTGCCACCTGAATCACTCACAAGTGTCCAAATACAATATATGAACCAAATAAAAAACACAAGAATGCCAAAGACTCTCACTTGCTTGCCATTAAAACAAAATTACATTCATAACATAGATTTGAAAATTACATAAAAGATGAAATCAAATCAAGAGAGCATAAAATAGAAAATTACTGCATACCTTGCCTCAGGTTACTCCCAAAGACTTCGTACACCCCATACCAAGTCTCCTCAACCAATGGCGCATGGGATCTAGGTTAAAGAACTTGTCTCACAACCTAGGAAGCCTAGACAAAAACATGCAAAGAGCATGACATGGGATTAACTAGACCAAGACTCAACACTTGGGTTTGTTACCCCTTAGGGTTTCTTTTCTTTTCTAAACCCTAATCTTTGGATAGAGAAAGATTAGAGAGGGGCGTGGCACCCCTTAGGCTCGAGAGAGAGAGAAAGAGAGAGAGAGAGATTAAGATATGAGGCGTAGAGAATAAGCCCCCCATAGCTAATTTATATGAAATAAAGGCAAGGGTTTCTAGGGTTAGGGTTTTGCCATCCTTATGAGACTTAATCTTGCCATTTGATCTTGGAGACCTGTGGGGTGAAGAGATCTCATCAATTCATTCATTAGATCAGCCATTATGATTAAAAGAATGAGGTGGAACCATTATCCCTTAGTTTCTATAACTCTATTCCCATCAAATATTATGTAGAGAAAATACTAAATCAATTTCAATTAATTCTTACACTTTCCCTTTTTGAAATCAATAAAAATCTCTACACCATACTTTTCCAAAATTCTCAAGTTAATTGCATGCCTTATAACACAAGGCACAAAATAGGAAAGAGAAGAAATTAGGAGGTGGGGTGCACCACCTTAAGGGTGGCCATGTGGGCCCCATGCTCCACTAAGTGTTGGGCCCAATAAATTCTAATGGGTCCCCAATATATTAAAAATAATTTCAGATAATAAAATAATTTTATTAAAAATAATTTCAGATAACAAAATAATTTTATACTGTCATCAAATATTTTATTTTTCTCTGATTAAAATAAATCTAGAAAATTGATTTTTTCTTATTAAAAAACCATTTTTCAATAAAATAAAATATCTAGTGAGGTCTAAAAATTCATTTTAATTATATGAAAAATAATTAAAACATACGTAAACATATCTAAGAAGATTTTATAGGAATTGGATACATAAAGTTAGGATTATAATAAATATGTTGAGGATTCCATCCTTTCTAGAGACCGCATTTCACTGCACCTTCTCAAACTTGACCCAATAGTTCCCATGACCCACAACCCTTCACAGGGGTTCATGATTGGACTATCAAAGTCGGCCAATATATGAAGCAGACATGATCCTAGTCCATGGATTACAGGTGCCTCCCTGAGGACAAGTCCAGGCTCCATTTCAGCACTATGCTTCATGGGTCCTTCCAACGTAGTCCAGTGTTACAGGGACTTCGACACATGTATACGTCACACGCCCTTATCCAAAGGGTCGCTTCTCAAATGGTTATCTAGTGCACATGCCATGTGATAGTGATGATGAGGTTTTAGGCTCTTGTCCTCTCCGGCCAACTATCACACACAAGGTTCATCTAGTCCGCCGGCATATTTGTACTGGGCACAACTCCTACCGTATCGATTGTGCTCAGACAATGCCCAAGACTACTTGTTTTAGACGTCACCTTGAGCCATAAGCTGTCAAAACTCAGGTGAGTCTCAACATTGGCACTGCCTCATAGTCCAAAGTGGGCCACACTCCCACTGGAGCCAATATTTCACTATATAATTTTAGTACACGCTCTCATAAGGCCTTTAAATGGCCACATAACCCCTACACTTTCTTTTTTCTTATGGAAGAGACAAAGAAGAGAACCTATAAAAATGAGAGCTTACACTATTGACAACCGTATAATAGGATCCAATGATGACAAACCCAAAACTAGAAGTCATCACAAATATGCAGAAATTGTTCTCATGGTAGAGACAGAAAGAAGAAACATGCAACCTTTCAATATCTGAGGATGAGGAGAACCCCAGAAAAAATGCTCAATGAAATTCTCACAATTGAAAATACTCAACAAAAACATACAATGAACACTTGGTCTTGCATATACAGCCTGCACGTCAAAAAGGAATGAGGAAGACATTAATGCTTAGTAAATAATAGGCTTAATCTTGTACAATAAGTGTTCGACGCCAACATAGACATCAAAATCTAGTACATATCTAAAGTGGACACACATTCGTAAAACTACTTTTTTAAATACATGTAAATTATATAAAATAACATAAAATTATAATGAGAACTTATGGAAACTAAAAAAAATTAGAAAATCGAATTATATGATGTCTTGCAATGTAATGCTAAACTATAGACCCTTCACTTTTATTTTTTATTGAATTTTCCAAAAACAAGCATATTTAAAATTGCACCCATTTCAAATTCCAACCAAAGTACTTTTTGTTACAAAAAAGCGAACGGGACATGAGATGTTTTGTGTGCATAGACTTCTAACATGCAAAACGATACATCGTGTTTGAGTCCACATGCAGCTGAGACATACAAATAGAGGGTCACCCCAACATCTAGGCATGTCGCCATGTGTGTAAGTGTCGCTAAATGTCGACACAAGAAACCAAGTACAACTATGGGAACTCATATAACATTGACAAGAAGGCCAGAAAATAACAGCTCAAGAAATATTCCCCATAAAATTGTTTGATAAAGAAAATGCTCTCATTTCACACGAGATCCAATTTCACCATTATAACAAATACAGTTTAAGTGAGCCAGCTGGGACCCACCAATTTCTCCATATTTTGGATGATTCAAGACCCAAAAGTAAGCAAATTCATCCTCTTGACCCCATGATCCAGTCTTGAAAGAAGAAATGTATTCCCAACACTAAAATACTCCATCTTGAATGCCAACTCAACATGAGATCTAGACTGTACAGTTCAATGGTACCTATTTCAGTAAAATTTGCATTACTTTAGCAGCCTCAAATCCATTTTTTGAGGACGGACATGGACTTGCAGGGGCTTAGATCAATTGTTGAGTTTCCAACCATCAAAACTATGGACTTTGCGAGGATGCCTCATGGTGTTTACATGAGGTGGGGGCCAAACATGAGCACGAGCTCGTGTTCGCACACATGCACACACACACATCTGTGTGAGTGTGCATGTGTGTATGAGCTGTGCATCTGTGCATGCATGTAGATTATATGAGCCACTCGACCTTAACTACAACATCGGCCTAACAGTCCAGATTGAAGGAGAAAGAAACGAATGGCCAGATTTGCATGCTATAAAATTAATTTTCTCAAGAAAGTAGGGGCCTGATGGACCCCAAATTCTGTGCATATGGGGTATAAAGGGTCTATTCTTCACGGCCATCCAGATCACAAGGAATCCTTCAATCTAGGCCATCCGGCACATATTGTCTTATAGGGCAGCAGTTCATAGGATCTTCCCATATTTATAGAATGTGTTGTGAGCAGGCCAGCCTCTTTAACTGTATAGGATGGATGGTTTAGATTCAATTTGAGCACACCACCCAATGACCAATGTGTCTGGGCACTTATTTATTTTTTAAAAAAATCTATAAATCCTTTTGAGATGAAATTTGAGGGAGAGATGCACTGAACCTACGCTTACCAGAAATCAATGGGAATGTGAAAGATTGATTGTTTGAAAATTTTCAGGAGAAGCAAATTCCTATCTGATGTCCAAGGGAGTCTCCCAATGGAACTCCTACTTCAGAGAAGACATTGTGATGTCAAAACAGGAATGGTCCAGTGGAGTTTTGGGAACTATTTATAGCATATGGGAGAAGCACTTTGCGACTGCTGCCATCAACGAGGTTGGTCATATCGATACTTCAGAGGAAGCATTCCACATAAATATCATAATTTAAAACCCTTAATAGTAGTTTTCTTGGCTTTTGCTTCAGAAATTGAACTTACCCTACTTT